GGATAAAAATTCAGATTTTAACGGGGGATTTTTAAAAACAGAGTCTCAGGTAAGATTGCTAACACCTGCCATCATTATTGGAAAAGTTAAAAGGATGTGAGAGTCGATTATTTATTGAAAAATCTTTAGAATACATATGGTGCTTGCAGATGTTAATTTAAACATGTTATACATTGATTTACACATGCTAAATGTAAGATTGTTTAGGAAAATTCTTTTATTGATCCAGAATCGTTTTTAATATTCAACTTAAAAAAAAAACCAGTTTTGAATAAAGGGCTTTAAAAAAGGAGAATTTTATAATACTGTTTTAAAAAAGGGACTGAGATTTTATTTGTCACCTGTATTGCAAAATTTGATAGACATTCCTGACAGTAACTATGCAATCCACAATTTTTTTTTCCCAATTCATTTATGAAATAGATTATGGTAAAAGATGGTAGGTGTTTTCCTGCTAGTTTAGGTCTGAAAGTTCAATGCCTCCCAACATTGTAACTTAAAAAGATACAGCAAAATATTTTCAGACAAGATAAGCAAGTTCAGAAATGTGAATATTAATTTAAGGTTAAACTGTTAGACTGATAGATATATCAATTAAATTCGTAAGGGTTCCGCGGAACCCAGTGTCTCGCCTACTTTTTCTGTTAATCGCAGGCTCAACAAAAATGAGGAAGTAAATCAATAAAAATATTCCTCTTGATACTATCTTTTGATTGTAAGAAGCTTCTGTCGAAGTTTGGTAAAAATCCAGGATAGTTTATGAATCTAATAAATGTTTAAAAACTTTAACTGCAGACTGAATGTAATGTTAACTGGAAGAAAACAAAATTTCCTTCTAGATACTAGCATTTGATCATAAACAAGCTTCTGTCCAAGTTTGGTACAAATCCAAAATAGTATAAGAAAGTTATTAAAATTTTAAAAACTTTAACCACAGAGTGAATGTGTTGTTTCCTGGCAGAAAATCTAAGTCCATTTAAAAGTAAAAAATGGAAAAAATGGATTTATTTTTATGCCCCCGTCGTAGCGGTGGGGGGCATTAAGTTTTACCCTTGTCTGTACGTACGTACGTCCGTCTGTACGTCCCAAAATTGGTTTCCGTTCTCTTAACTTGAGTTTGTATCAACCAAATGTTATGAAACTTATACACAATGCTTATTACCACAAAACACAGATCAAGTTTGAATTTTGGTGGCGTCACTTTAACCGTTCTAGAGTTATGCCCCTTTATAAATGGAAAAATTGCTAAATTTTTAGTTTCCGTTCTCTAACTTAAGTTTGCCTCAACCAAATGATATGAAACTTATACACAAGGCTTATTACCACAAAACACAGATCAAGTTTGAATTTTGGTGGCGTCACTTTAACGGTTCTTGAGTTATGCCCCTTTATAAATGGAAAAATTGCAAAATTTTTAGTTTCCGTCCTCTAACTTAAGTTTGCCTCAACCAAATGTTATGAAACTTATACACAATGCATATTACCACAAAACACAGATCAAGTTTGAATTTTGGTAGCGTCACTTTAACCGTTCTAGAGTTATGCCCCTTTATAAATGGAAAAAATTGCAAAATTTTTATTTTCTTCTAAATATCAAGTTATTTTTAAAATTGGAGTTATCTTCCTTTGTCCATGATTATAGTTGAATCAACTACAATCAATGCTTTATACAATGCAATGTTTAATTTTGACTTCCACTGATAAAACACAGATCAAGTTGAATTTGGGTAGTGTCACTTTAACCATTATTGAGTTATGCCCCTTTATAAATAGAAAAATTGCTGAATTTTTAGTTTCTTTTCTCTACTTAAGTTAGCCTCAACCAAATGTTATGGGACTTACACACAAAACTCAGATCAAGTTCAAATTTGGGTAGCGTCACTTTTACTGTTCTTCAGTTATGTCCCTTTATAACTATATGATATGCAAGTGGGGGCATCATCTGTGTCCACATGTGGACACTATCCACATTTATTTTTACAAAATTTCCTTCTAGATACTAGCTTTTGATCATAAACAAGCTTCTGTCCAAGTTTGGTACAAATTCAAAAAAGTATAAGAAAGTTATTAAAATTTTAAAAACTTTAACCACAGAGTGAATGTGTTGTTTCCTGGCAGAAAATCTAAGTCCATTTAAAAGTAAAAAAATGGAAAAAATGGATTTTTTTTTTTTACAAAATTTCCTTCTAGATACTAGCTTTTGATCATAAACAAGCTTCCGTCCAAGTTTGGTACAAATCCAAAATAGTATAAGAAAGTTATTAAAATTTTAAAAACTTTAACCACAGAGTGAATGTGTTGTTTCCTGGCAGAAAATCTTAGTCCATTTAAAAGTAAAATAAGGAAAAATGGATTTATTTTTTTACAAAATTTACGTCTGGATACTATCTTATGATCATAAACAAGCTTCTGTCCAAGTTTGGTACAAACCCAGGATAGTTTAAGAAAGTTATTAAAATTTTAAAAACTTTAACCACAGAGTAAATGTAATATTTCCCAGCAGAAAAACTAAGTCCATTTATAAGTAAAATACGGAAAAAATGGAATTTCATTTTTAAAAAATTTACTTCTGGATACTATCTTATGATCATAAACAAGCTTCTGTCCAAGTTTGGTAGAAATCAAGGATAGTTTAAGAAAGTTATTAAAATTTCAAAAACTTTAACCACAGAGTGAATATTTGTGGACGCCGACGACGCTGACGGAATGTAGGATCGCTATGTCTCGCTTTTTCGACTAAAGTCGAAGGCTCGACAAAAATTGAATGTTTTTTTTTATTTGTTGACCTATGAGTATTGACAATAGTTCCTAATTATTAGCTCATTCAATTCAATTGCATGCCAGCAAATTAATGAGCTGCTGGCACTGTTCATACAACTAACTATGAAGATATAGAGAAACTGTAAATAGCAAAAATCATCAGCAAATAAGATCTAAACATTATTATAATGACCAAAATATTGGGTTGACTTATAGTACTTATTGCTCAATTTAAGTGTTTTTACTTCATGTTCATTTGCTTTATACTAAATGCAGGGACTTAATTTTGTTGCTCTTCTCTGAGTTTTGTAATACCTCATTCAACAGTTGCTAAGGGTATCATGTTTTTGACCCTTTTGTCAGTGCTATAATTATTAAATCTTATTTAAGATTAAATATTTTTTAATTGCTCCTGTTCTGATATGTCATGAATCAAGGATTTTTTTAACTCATCAAAACCTTCAATGATTTCTATAAGAAAAAAAGTCTGAAATGGGGGATCTCGTTTTGGGAGGGATACTTGTAAAACTGTATTAATATTAATTCCAATTGCTCATTAGGCAATATTAATTTCTGAAATCACAACAGGAGAGAATCGCATCTCAAAATAAACAGAAAAAACTATTTTAAAGCCAACAGGTCACTATCAGTTTGTCCCTTTTGTGTGGAGTGTGCAAGGTTCCTCGTGGAAAGTTCTTTCATTTACTTTTTTGTCCTCAACTTGAATTATGGACAGTAACATAGGAATACTCAGTGCCCATGTGTGCTTTTGTCTGTTTACCGTCAGGTCTTAAATTAGTGGACACGTGGACATTTCTTGTAAGATTTTTATGAAACTTGACTTATATTAAAGGTTTACATTAGCTATGTCTTGTCATAGTTCAGAAGTAAGTAGTAATCAACTATCTGTACAGGAGTTATGCCCTTTGGAAATGTAATTTATATGGAAAATTACAGTGGAAGTGTTTTCTCACCCCTACATTTCTTGTCTATATCAGAGGTTTATAACAGCTATTTTTTGGACGAGTTCAAACATAAAAGGCAATCAACTATTTTTACAGAAGTTATGCCCCATGGAAATGTACATACTTGAAAAATTCCATTGTAAGTGCTCTTAAGGCCTACATTTTAGTCTGAATTTAGATAAATTTATGTCAAAGGTTTATGCATACATTTTTTCACATATATCAGCAATGTATCAGGCGAGTTTGAAAATCAGTGCCCGATAAACTGTTTTACAGGAGTTCAATTCCTTGGAAATCTAAATTATATGGAAAATTGCATTGAAGCACTCTGAGATCATGTCTGCATTTCTTGTTGGATAATTATTAAAAGTTGAAAAGATTAGAAATAAAAATTGTGATAATGAAATATTTGCTGCAGCAGGGGACATTGGAACACTGTTCTTATTAAACTTTGTAGTGCATTAAGCAATATACTTAGGGATTCCAGCATTTAGTACACATTGAAACAATCAATTATTGTATACCACAAAAATACAATTTCTGTAACTTTCAGAAAAGTTGTGGCCCAAAATAACTTGTTTCTAAATTTAGATATAAAGATGATTTTTGAAGAAGAAAAAAAACATAACTCTATTTGGCATCACTTCAGCTCATATAAAGGTTTATCATGTTTATAACATTGTAGATAAGAAAAATTTATGTTTACATGTTTTTGTAATCAACATCTTGTTTATACATTTGTTTGTTATATTGAAATGCCAAATCTTCTTTATGAACATGATTTAAGTTGAATGTGTAAATTTTCACGTCCTAAAAGAAATGTCAGTATTGATTCTTTCATTTACAAGCTTATATAGCCTTGGTTAACCTGCGTAACTAACAGGTAACAAATAAAGAGAATCGTGAAGGATAAAAAACTTACAGTAAGAAATTTTTAGTTTCATTTTTTAAAGATACATTTTTTTTTATGCTAGGGAAACACTGTATACATATTTATATGATGAAGCAGTTTTAACAGAATAAAGATTTCTGAAAAGCCAGAATTTATAATTTGCCTTTTTAAAAGGCCAGAATCGTTGTAAAATTTTAGCCAAACTGATGGTTGGACAAAATGGTTTGATCAGAATAGACAAACAGGGTAGATTTTTTTAATTTTAATTTAAAAATGATGAGAGGGGGAGAGGTACATTCCCCCATTTATGATTTACAATTGTTTGTATTGGTACAGTTGAATATACTTTGGGACATAGCAATATGTTATTCTTTTATTTACAGAACACCATGTCTCAGCTGAAACTCACTAAGCCAGCACCAGAATTCAGAGGAACTGCTGTGGTCAATGGGGAATTTAAAGACATTTCACTGGCAGATTATCGAGGGAAATATGTTGTATTCTTCTTTTATCCATTAGATTTGTGAGTAGATTTAAATACTGTATAATATTTTGAATTACATAAAATAGGAAATCAATGTTTAAAGGCCAGGCTAGTATCTTTTTCATGTTACCAAGGTCATACAATTTAATTCTTTAAAAATGTTAGCAATATAAGGAAGCATAAAGCATAGATAACACTGGGAAATTTAATTCTGTTTCTAATTTATGGTTCTTTTTGATGAGAAATGAATTAGAGTCAAAAAGAATCACATGTGTAGGGACATAAATTTGTCTTCTGTTCCCCAAAACAGTGCATAATACATACAAAGTATAATTGGAATCCCCCAAAATACTGGATAGTTCAACATTGAATGGAATAGATTTCTTCCAAACTGATACAACTTCTCAATAATTTAAAGAATAAGTTTTGAATCCTGCACATTGTCTGCACTTTTCACCTGTAATAGAAATAGATATACCTTTAGATATCTCATTTACAATTTATTTTGAAATGGAAAAGGAGGTATTTGGTGTATTTATTCATGACACAAAATCTTGACCCCAAGGCTTAGCAGTATAGAAGTACAGAATGAACATTATAAAAGTTGTACAAAATGTATAAAATTTTATTTACATTAATGCTTTAAAGTATTTGTACAATGTCTTTATGTACATGTAATACTAAGTTATTTGGGTCAAATTAAATTACCCAACTTTATCAATAAATTATATTGACCAGTGGACACCTGGCAGGTACAAGGTTTGTTAGAGTGACCCATGACATGTTTGAAAAGATTAGTGAAGCATTTGATATTAGTATACTGAATAACCTAATTCATGCATGTATTTTGAAATAGTTAAATTTTTTGGAAGTTTTTAATTAAATTTTCCAATGTACACTCTGAAATGAATCCAAATTTAAGGACTAGTTATACAAAAGATTGGGAGTCCTTATTATGTAGTGGTAGTCCTGAGGGATTGTCCTGAAACCTCTTAAGGAGGATTGGAGTTGTCCCCTAACTGGGAAATAAAAAAAAATTAAATTTAAAATCCTTCAATTGGAGCACATTTGAAGGCATACAATAGGGTTTTCTTGGAATGTTTTTTTTCCCTCACCTAAAGCAAAAAAATATGAGTGAGAATATGTTACATGTCTCCTCATTGTAACACAACCATGTGTATTGGATTTTCCATGTGGTTTCAAAATAAAATTTTGTTTGTCATAGTAGGATAACTAATGTGCCTCTACAGTTTTGCTTTTGTAGTTTGTGGGCATTTGATTTAGCCTCAAAATTTTTCTCTTTTCATTTATAATCAGTCATGTCAGTGTTGATAGAATGTTGTGCTTTATACTTTTATTTTCCTTTCATTAAGAGTTTAAATGAAGCAGTTGATGATCAAAAGATGTGAACTCACCACTTGTGTACAAAGGCCTTCATAAAATTTCATTGAAAACATGTAGTCCAGGCCTTGGTTGATTTTTGAAATTGCTCTTCTGAGCATTTTCCCATATATTTCATTATAAAATTACCTATATTTATTAATTAAAAATAACAACTTGTTCAAACAATACTCCAGGCCATGTGACTTGTTTAAGCAATACTCCAGGTCATGTGACTTGTTGAAGTTGTTCAAGCAATGTTCTAGGCCATGTGACTTGTCTAAGCAATGCTACAGGCCAAGTAACTTGTTATAGCAATGTTCTAGGCAATGTTACTTATTTAAGCATTGCTGCAGGCCATGTTACTTGATTAAGCAATACCCCAGGCCATGTTTCTTGTTTAAGTAATGATCAATGTCATGTTACTTGTATAAGCAATGCTGCAGGTCATGTAACTTGTATAAGCAATGCTCCAGTTCATGTTACTTATTTAAGCAATGCTACAGGACATGAATTTGAAGATAGTTTTTTTTATTTTTTCAGTACATTTGTTTGTCCAACAGAAATAATAGCATTCAGTGATCGAGCAGAAGAATTCCGTTCCATAAACTGTGAAGTAGTAGCTTGTTCAGTTGACAGTCATTTTTCACATTTAGCATGGTAAGTATTTAAACTAGCAGAAGATATTGCCATGGTCAATGTCAGTGTACATAGTTATTTTTTATAAATATATAACATAAGCACTATATATATATATGTATATTTAACCAATTCTCTCCCATCTGGCTACAAAATTAAAAAAAACAAATACAAATACAAAATAAAAAAAATGAATTGAGATATCTCATTCAATAACAATAACATTTTCCGGAGGAAAAACACCCAAAATAGTAATAGTTGTTTGTTCTACTTGAATATATATAATTATAACTCACACAAAGAAAGATAACTCCTGACAGATGTTTCAGTGTAAGAATTTCAAAGATTCTTTTAACATTTTTAATTTCCAGACATCAGGCAACTAAAACCTTACCACTACTTCTTCATTAAAAAAAAACAAAAAAAATAGAATAGAATCTATAGAATTTGGAATAAAGATAACAGTAAAAATGATCTTCTTTGGTTAAAATTTGACACTTATGTAAATATATGCATTACCATGATAACACAAATTCTAGTGTCAGAACAAAATTAATTTGAAATTTGAATGGTATTAATAATCTTCTCATGCTGGAATTTACATATATTTTCAACAATTTTTTTCAGGGTAAACACTCCACGAAAGCAAGGTGGACTGGGAAACATGAAAATTCCTCTCCTCTCAGACATAACAAAAGAAATCAGTAAATCATATAATGTATTGAAGGAAGATGAAGGAATTGCTTTTAGGTAAATCAGCTGAAAAAAAATTAAAAAAATTAAATGGGATATATGGTAGATGCACATTGGACATCATAAGAGAAATATTATATGAAAAAACTCAAAAAAAATATTGCAAATAGTTTAAAACACTGCTCAACTCATTAAAAAAGACACTGCAATGTTTTATTGTCAGTCCATCAGTTCAAGAATATCATTTTAATTTAAGTTTGCTGCAACAGATATTGATGACAATTGTAACAAATCTTTATGACAATGTTTGTTTAATATCATGCTGAACTTGAAGATTTACTGTTCCTTGTAATTATGGAACTGTAAATTACAAAAAAATTACAGTCATGTCTTATGCTTACTCCAGTTTGATTTTACATATGTTAAAATGGGCATAAGCAAAAATGTTGACACTATAAGTGGAAACAATTAAAATATGTTTTTCTTGGTTTCAAATATTTACAAGAATGGAATATTGAATAATTTGTTGTTATTAGCAGTCAGTTTGATTCAATTTTGTCAAAATAAGCCACAAATCAACCTCAAATATAATCCATATGCATTTTTACCTTTAATTGACAGCAAGCCATCCCCACAATTTTTATAAGCACGTTTACAGGACATATTATGATATACCGTTGTCCAGGGACATATTATGATATCCATCTGTCCGTCCGTCTTCAACATGTCGGACAGTTACTCAAAATTGCTTTCACCAATTTTTATGAAACTTTGGTGAATTGTTTATATCTATTGATGTAAGCTCCCTTTCGATTTTTAAAAATTTAAGATTTTACGTTTCCGAGTTATGGGATTTTATTCATAAAAAATGTGGGATTTTATCAGTTTTCTGACTATAACTCATAAATGCTTTGAACAATTTTCATGAAACTTTGGTGAATTGTTTATATATATTGACATAAGTTCCCTTTTGAATTTTAAAAATTTCTGATTTTATGTTTTGGAGTACATTGTATTGGATTTTAGTCATAAAAAAGGGGGGATTTTCCAGTATTTCGGACAATAACTCAAAAATGCTCTAGCAGTTATCATGAAACTTTGGTGACTTGTTTATATCTATTGAAATAAGCTACCTTTTGTTTTTTTTAATAAATTTCTGATATGACATTGCTGAGTTATGGAACTTTATTAGTTGAAAAATTGATGAAAACTATCCAGTTGGCGACGGGTGTATCATGCGCTTACTTTATTTCCATTTTCTTGATGAATTAGATGATATAATGGGGAGATAATTTTGACGAATTAGACTGAGTGGTCATATCCAGAAGAATTGAAATATGTAGGTAGTGCCATATTCATGAATCTTTGTCTGTAGATGATAAGTAATTTGTAGGATTCAAAAATATATAGGTGGGAGTCCCTTAGTGATTCTTTGAAATAAAATGTTGAACAACAGCTTTTCATAATTAAATCTTAAGTTCCTTGTATACTTTTTTTTTCAAAATCAGTTAATTTTGAAATCAAAACATAATTGAGAAAACTATTGAAGTTATCTCCTGTAGGGTAATTATTATACCCCACGCAACGAGTTGCGGAGGGTATAATGTTTTTGACCCGTCCGTCCATCTGTCCGTCCGTCAGTCCTATTTCTTGTCATTGCAATTCCTCTCAAACCACACAACAGAATTTCACGAAACCTTTTTAGATAATAAGGACATACTATGTAGTTGTGCATATCTACAGGAAATTACGATTCAATTCTTTTTCTAGGAGTTACGCCCCTTTGAACTTATTTACTTTAATGTACTACTGCAACAGTTTGTCATCGCAACTCCTCTCAAACCACACAACAGAATTACATGAAACTTTTCAGATAATAAGGACATACTACCTAGATGTGCATATCGACAGGAAATTGCGATTCAATTTTTTTTCCAGGAGTTACGCCTCTTTGAACTTATTTGCCCAATATACTACTGCAACCTTTTGTCATCGCAACTCCTCTCAAACCACACAACAGAATTTCATGAAACCTTTTCAGATAATAAGGACATACTACCTAGATGTGCATATCGACAGGAAATTACGATTCAATTTTTTTCCCAAGAGTTACGCCCCTTTGAACTTATTTGCCCAATATACTACTGCAACCTTTTGTCATCGCAACTCCTCTCAAACCACACAACAGAATTTCATGAAACTGTGTAGATAATAAGGACATACTATGTAGATGTGCATATTGACAGGAAATAATGATTCAATTTTTTTTTCTGATACATACTTATTTTATTTCTCCAATGACAATGTGGGGACGTGGGGTATGTGAGAGCGCTCACTAAGGTTCTTTCATTTATTTTGGAATATGTTATCTGTTTAAATATGAAGTCAACTGTTTCTGAGTTATAAAAAAAAAAATGGGTATATGTAACCATGAGGATTTTTCAAACAGCCTTCTATTATGTACATCAATTTTACGAGAAATATTGGTTTAAAAAAAAATGGTTATGTGCTTTCTTCAGAAACAAAGAAATTGCATAAGCAAAAGCACGGCTAAAAACTGCTAGTGAACAATTCTTATCACTTGACACATTCGGACACATCTTTGGAAATAATGGTGCATTTTGGACACACCACTTTGCTGTTTTATCAGTGTAGGCGTATAAATTCAGTTCATGGTTTGTGTGTTTCGCATCATTGGTTAATCAAATGTTGTATTGATACACATGGTCTTTCAGGTAACCACCATCAGAGCTGGTTTTTAGGAAAAATATCAAATGTGTCAATGATTTAGGTTACAGTAGTTATCATCACAGCGTATTGAAGTAGCAAATGTATTTCTTTGAAATTCGAAATCTATAATAATTTGCAATAATTTTATTCTTACAGATATGCTGGAACATAGTGTAAATATATTTTGATATATTGCTTACACATTCTTTATTTCTAGACTTTATTCTTACAAACCAGTAATTATGAAATAAGGAGATGGCTTATGATTGCCAATAAAAAAAATTCCTCATTTTCATTAAAACAGTAAAAATTGAAAACTTTTATTTATTACAGAGGATTATTCGTAATTGATGACAAAGGAAATTTACGACAGATGACAGTAAATGATCTTCCAGTAGGAAGATCAGTTGATGAAACTTTACGTCTTGTACAAGCTTTCCAGTTTACTGATAAACATGGAGAAGGTAAGAGATTGCCATCAAAACAAATAGAGTAGTTTATAAATGTGCAAGGGTGAAAAGAAAAAAAAACGAAATAACAACTTTTATGTTATAATTAATTACTATTAAAGGTATATCTCAACCAATATTTTACTTGTTTACTGACAGGTTTTAAAGTATAATCTTTGAACCATGTTTTAATTTTTTTTTCAACACTGGCTTTCCAAAAGGTGTAACTAAAGTTTCTGGACTGTAAGATTATAAATCTGGTTCAACATGTTTTTACAGTAACTTTATTGGGTTATGGAAGAGAAGGAAAATTACACCAAATCCCTGCAGAGACTTGACAAAACTCAAAGTAAAGGAATAGAGCTTTTTTTGTGTTTTCTGCATTTCAAACTCACAGTGACACATGCAGTGGGTGATTGTCTGACAATTTTGATTTATGACAATATTACTTCACCCCTGCATTCACAAAGATCAAAACTATTGAAAATACAGGTCAAAGATATGAAGTATTAATTAATGAAGCCATTCTTCTGGGTCTTGGTATAAAAAATAGACTGCGTAGGCAGGTTTATTTAGAATTGCTCTAGGAAGCCACTTTAAGGTTCATTCAAACCAGACTAATATATAGATTTTTAAGCATTTGAATACAAAATTACTTGAGAATTTAGACAGTTTTCTCAATAGGATGTAATCTGAATTTAAGCAAAAAGATTAGATAAGCGAGGTTTTTTTTCATGACAAAATTTTTTTCACAAATTCTTTAAATCCTGGATATCCATATTTAATTAAGTGAACAAAACCAAGACAATCACATAATAGCTGAATCAATGTGTTTTGCATCTCCACTTTTTCAATAAAATAACAGATTTGTACTCAGTACTAATTTTATTTCATTCATTGTCTATTTACAGTATGTCCAGCAGGCTGGAAGCCAGGATCAGACACAATGAAGCCAGACCCTAAGGGAAGTCAGGAATACTTTGGAAAACATTCCAAGTAACACAACAAAAATGTCAGCCAAAATACTCAAATCTATTGCAGTTGGTGGATTTTCATGTCTCTATAAATATCATTTGATGTTCTGTATTGTGTATTTAGTGTTGTTAAGCATTTAAATTCAAATTTTGATAACATTTGATGGTTTTACACTTCAGATATTGTTAATATATAAGAATATTAACATTTAAAAGTTAGAAATATTTGAAAATTTATTTGCTTTATTTATCATGAAAAGAACGATAACTGCTGGTAAAAAAGTTAATTTTTATTTTTTATTTTTCATTCACTGACGTGCACATGGTTGATTTGGATTTATTTTAAATTGCATAGATACTCAAAATTTATTACTTTAGATCATTATGAATACAGATTTTTAAATTTAAATTTGTACTTAAAATTATAAAAAACTATTTAAGATAAAACAAAATTTTTCAGGATTCAGTCTATTTTTGGTGAATAAGTATTTTTGAATTGACTTTACAGTCTAATATGAGTGCTCAAATCAAGTGTTATATTGTTAGATGTGTAATAGTTTTACAATTGTTACTTAAAGAACTTAATCAATACAGAATTTCATTGTTCTGTCTACAATTGTATTGTTAAATTATACAAAACTGAAAGCATTCTACTAATTATGCTTCAAAAAGAATTATCTTGGTCTAGATGTTATAAATGAGGTCATTCTATTTTTTAGAATAAGCTTATAGAAACATATTAAAGAAGAAATCAGTATGATTAATAGGAATATGTATTCCATGAATTGTTTAACATACTGTGCTTGTGTAATTGAACAGTATTTTCTAGATTATTCACATACATGAACCTAGTTATATGAACCAGAAAACAAGGACATTTAAAATGTAAAAATACTAATTTATCAAAATGTTTTAAAAAGAAATTTTGAAATTTTGAAAATTTTCAGGCCATATTATAGTCCAAGTCTGGTTTATCATAAAGAAGTTTCTGTGTTCATAATTTTTGTATAGTCCCTCCGTTGTCTTTAACAAAGTAAAAACAAAGCTATACATTGTTGAATGGATTATTATTATACCCTCACTTTCTAAAGCAGGTAGGGCCTTGGTGGCCAAGTGGTCTAAGAAGTTGCACTACCATATCACTAGCCTATCAACACTGAGGTTGTGAGTACGAATCCCACACATGGCAGGTGTGCTTGATTTAAGACTAGGATTGTCAGTTTTCCTACTGAAGGTCGTCGTTCTCTCCAGGCACTATGGCTTCCTCCACCAATACAAACTGACAGCCATGAAATAGCACAATAGTGCTAAAAGTGGCATTAAACACCAATCAATCTAAAGCGGGCATTATATAGTGATAGTTGGATCAGTGCGGTCGTTCAGTCGTCGTTCATTCATTTGTCTAACTATTGTATCCCCAACTGCTCCAGCAAATTTGACAGAAATTTTGAAAATCTCACAAAATTCTTCACAATGATGTACTTTTACATCTATTTCATTTCTTCGTCTGATTAATTTATGGTGTTTTCTTTGGGATAAAATGGAGATGGACTTTGTCATATATGCACCCTTCAGTACATGTTTGTAGCTGCTTGTCCTCCTAAACCCCTTATCATATAATATAATGAAACTGTCTCAGAATCTTGACCATACAATATGAAAAAAAAGGAGATGTACGATTGCAACACTCCACCAGAGACCAAATGTTGTAGAAGTTAACAACTACTGTACATTCAGAAATTATTACGTGCATTCTTATTGCTAATTTTGAAGAATGGACAAAAATGAGCAAAATAATCATTGCAATTTCAGGAAAATCTGCATTCAGATATATGCATTGAACTCAGAATGGGAGTTCTTATTGTTGCGATACTTGCACAGTCACATTATTCGCATTAATAAAAACCTTGAAATAATTTCTGAATTTACAGTATAGGTCACCGTACAGCCTTCAATAATGAGCAAAACCCAAACAGTATATAGTAAAGACTATTAAAGGCCTCAAAATGACAAATGTAAAACAATTAAAATGAAAAACGACCTAATTTATGTACAAACCAATAAACAACAAACGCTGAATTACAGGCTCCTGACTTGGGACAGGCACATCCAGAATATGGAGGGGTTAAACATGTTTGCTTGTGCCAAACCCTCCCCCTAACCTGGGACATTTGTGTAACAGTACAATATAAGAACAAACAATAAAAATCTGTTGAAAAGGGGTTAACTCATCAGATCGATACAAAGAAAAAAAACAACCTGAAAATAACAAAAAAAAAACAACAAAAGACACAGAGTACAGATCTGAGAGTACTCACAGTTACTGAAAAAGTAAAATTACAAAAATACCGAAATCTGAGGAAAATTCTAAACGGAAAGTCCCTAAGTAAATGGCAAATTCAAAAGCTCAAACACATCAAACGAATGGATAACAACTGTCATATTCCTGAAAGCTAGTTCAAAGCCAACAGCATGAAACAAAAAAGTTATGCATTGAAGACTAAAAAATCAATCAGTTCACATCCAACATCCAATGGATTTAGTGAAAAGACAGTTATTGCTGTTTATATTTGATTTGTTTAAAGTATGTTCTTTTGGTAAATTTCTGGGTTTCTACTGAGTTTTGCCATGAACTGTGATACCTAACAGTGCTTGAATACCGATTTTGTTATTTGGTCTAAATTATTTTTTGGTTTTCCCTTAGCAAATCATGGACTTTGCAAGGGGCTTGGAGAAACATTTTTAATAGTTTGGCTTGCAATACGTCTAGTTTATATTGAAATCATGAATAGACAAGTACTAACTTGAGACAAGAAAAAAACATTAGAAAAGGTGAACATCAAAGCAAGTGAAAAGCTTTCTTTTTTTCATCTTTGAAGGCTTTTGACATTAATTCAAGGGTTGACTTGGACATAAATGTGTCTGTCTTGGCTATGACAAATGTTTGCTGAAATTTGTATTTAGGGGAGAGATGTATACTAGTCAGAGGATGGTGAAAACATTCACTAATTTTATAAAACTTAATTTTTTCAAAAGTAAACTTAGAACAGATTAAGGAACCAATTTCAACCAAACTTGGGGTGAATGATCCTTATGGTATCTTGTATAAAGTTTTTTTTTTTATTCTAGTCCACAAACATGGCTGTCATGGTTTAAAATAGAACATAGGGGTAAAAAGCAGTTTTTCAGCGTATATCTCAAAAATGAAAAAAAAATTAAAACCAAAACTTGACGGGGTAAAAATGATCAGCAGGTCAACATCTATCAGTGAGGAATTTTTCAGACAAATAGGACAACCCAATTTGGAGTTATTGCCCCTGAAATAATATTTGTTGTGAAATTTCTCTGTTTAATGGTTGTTATGACCCAAATTGTCAATTGATCCCTTTTAGGAGTTATTGCCCTTGAAAGATAATTTTTACCAATTTTTTGTTTTTTTGCAGAAACTATGATAGATGGAAACTTTTACACGCATTAAAATACATAACACCTAAAATTAATCATTCATTTTGATGGAAGATCTACACAAAACATTCCAGGTGAGCAAATCAGGCTCTTCAGAACCTCTTGTTCATTGTTCAGTTATTAACCTTGGACACGCTAAAGCTTCTAAAAGTCATGCATCTTCTATATTTTGTACTTTCTAACATGGATAACGAGCTAACAAAAATATCCGACAATATAACATACCACACCAACAACCAACAATCCACTTCTCAAAGAAAAGACCAATAATCAAGACCAAAAAGCACAAACATTTCATGGTCAAGATTGCCTGACTTGGTACAGACACAATATAAGTAATGGAAGTTCAATAATTTTGGGTTTACAAAAACCTTCTATAACAATCTAGACTATAAGTTGTAAAATTGACACACCAGAAAAACCTCGCATACTCATGACAGTCTTGAAAGCTACCAATTTTTGGTTTTATCAGCTCTTTAAATTTTTATTGTCCCCCGGGCAATGTGTTGTGTGGGACATGGAAATACCGGGCGTCCGTCCGTCCGGTCTTGCTAGCACTTTCACATGTACAATTCTTGCCAGATTTTTTATAATTAAACTTATATCTTAGGTTTATATATCAGCAATGTCTTGGACGAGTTCGCAAATCAGGGACGATCAATTATTTTTAAAAGAGTTATGCCCCTTGGAAATATGAATTATATGGAAAATTGCATTGTTAGCGCTCTCATTTGTACAATTCTTGCCAGATTTTTGTGTAACTTATATCATAGGTTTATATTAGCATTGTCTTGGACAAGTTCGAAAATCAGTGCCGATTAATTATTTTTAAAAGAGCTATGCCCCTTGGAAATATGAATTATATGGAATATTGCCTTATGGGCGCTCTAATGTGTACAATTCTTGCCAGATTTTTAGGAAATTTATATCATAGGTTTATATCATCAATGTTCTTGAAGAGTTTAAAAATCAGTGTGAATCAATTATTTTTAAAAGAGTTATGCCCTTGAAAATATTGATAATATGGAAAATTGCAATGTTTTTCGCTCTCATGTGTTCAATTCTTGCCAGAATTTTATGAAACTTATATCATAGGTTTATATCAGCAATGTCTTTGACACTTTCGAAAATAAGTTCTGATCAAATATTTTTAACGAGTTATGCCCCTTGGAAATTTAAATTATAATGGAAATCACATAATAAAAAGTTTTAAAGAAAAAAAAAGTGCTTTTTATACGACCGCAAAAAATTTTGCAGTCGTATATTGGTATCACGTGGTCGTCATTGTCGTCAGTATCTTCCAAAGACATTTGGTTTCCGGACAATAACTTTAGTAAATGTAAATAGAAATCTATGAAATTTAACCACAAGGTTTATAATCACAAAAGGAAGGGTGGGATTGATTTTGGGGGTTATAGTCCTAACAGTTTAGGAATTGGGGGCCAAAAAGGGGCCTAAATAAGCATTTTTCTAGTTTCCAGACAATAACTTGTGGAACGGTGTATGGATCTCTCTGAAATTATACCACAAGTTATCATACCACAAAGGGATGGTTAGGATTGACTTTGGGGGGTTATGGCTCAAACCGTTTAGGAATTAGGGGCAAAAAAGGGGGATAAACAAGGGTTTCCTGGTTAATGGACAATTAAAAAAAGTACAATGTTAAGTTTGGATTACCTCCTTACACTGCTTTTTAAATTATGTATAAAGAAATGTTGTATTGTGGTGATTAGCTGTCAATTTATTTTTAGAAGTTACTGTATTTAAAAGTGCTGATTAAGGAATATTTAATATATTAATTTTAGCCATGATTATGTATGTCATTTTCTATTTTAAGACTTTTATGATGTATTTAAATGGGTAATTCTCCATTGGAAATTTGAATTGAGATTATGTCCATATCTTGAGGGAAAGAATTTTTTTTTGAAAAGGGGAGGGGGAGGTGAAAAAAAATGGGGGGGGGGGGGGGGTAAAAAAGAATTTGTGAGGGGGGGGGGGGACATTTTTTTTCAGATTTCAGAAATTAAAAAGAAAATTTCTTCAAATATTTTTTTTTTAAAAGGGGGGGTGGGGGGGGGGGGGGGTGTAAATTTATTTTATTTTATTTTATTTTTTTTGGGGGGGTCAATTCGCAACAGCATAGTGTATTGCACAAAAACAAAAAAAAAGGGGGGTTAATTTTTTTTGGGGGGGGGGGCAATTTGCAACAGCATAGTGTATTGCTCAAAAGCCAAAAAATGAATATAAATTCAAATCATATAACCAAATCTAAGTTCTTTGACTACAGTTATTCTGTGTCTGAAACCTATTATGTGTCAAATATTAAATTGCAATCCAAATTCAGACCTTTAATTTTATTGACTCGGACATTATTTGTGAGAGGCAAAAAAGAATTTAGAACTAATTAAGGAATGACTGCAATATTTTTTCTGTCAATGAAGAAATAACATCAAACATGTGGTGCACACTGATTAACGCGCGTAGCGTGTTATTTAAAAGTGTGCACCACATTTTTATGTTATTTCGAATAGACAGAAAAAATATTACAGTCATTCCTTATAATTTAATTCTAAAAAGGAGAAGATCATGATAAAA